AGGCCTGAAAACAGAAGAAAATATAGGCAACAAACTCCTTGAGGTCAGCCTTAGTGGTGTGAAATTTTGGGAATTTGACTCTAACCTTTGATAATTTGACTCCAGTGGCAAGCCAAACAGAAGCACACGTTAAGTAATGGGGCTTGGCTAAACTTAAAAGTTTCTGCACAGTGAAAGAAATGTGTGTAAAAAGGAGAAGACATTCTATTACATAGGAGAAAGCATTCGTATCATCATATATACAACAAGGAGCTGATATCCAAATTATACCAAAGGTACATAAAAATAAACTACAGAAACAACCCAATTTTAAAAATGGAGGATTTGAATATACACTTGTTCAAAGAAGATGTACAGAAGATCCACAGATGGCCAGTAGAAAGAGGAAAAAAATGTCCATCAGATTCTGTCAGGACCATGCAAACCAAAACAATGATCAATCACATGAAAATGGCTGATAACTAAAAGATAAACAACTGTCCATATTGAAGGAGCTGAAGAAGAGAAGGGAACCCACAGTAGCCAAGAACAGGAGTCAACTTAGTGCCCACAAACTGATGAATGGATAAGAAGATGCAGAACATACACACGTGGAATAACACTCAACTATGAAAAACATATAAATCCCTGCTCTAGGAAACAACATGAACTAAACAGAGGTCATTATGCTTGATGAAATAAATCAGACTTTAAAAGACACCCTCATGTGATTGTAATCATATTTGATATATCAAAAACAAACAAGCAAAAAGATGAACTAAATAAAACAGAAAACCTTTAATGCTGCAAGATTGACAGAAGAGAAGTGGAGAAATGTGAGGTGAATCAGATACAAGTCACACAGGAAAGGATGGAATCTGACTTTCAGCAGTGTATAGTCCATATCTGAAACTCATCTGAGCAGTGCAATGTTATGTGAATATAAAAAATATTATAAACATGTTCATAAAACCACAGCAGTGTTTGACAAAAAAGCTCAAGTCTCAATCAGTGATGTTTTTAATATAATATCAAAGCAGGTAACACTGTCCTCCCGTTGTTTATCGATTTGCTCGAGCAGGCACCAGTAACGTCTCACAACAAATTGTGAGACTTGTTGTTACTGTTTTTGGCATACTGAATATGTCACTGGGAGCTTGCCAGGCTTTGCGGTGCAGGCAAGATACTCTCGGTAGCTTTCCAGGCTCTTCGAGAGGGCCGGAGGAATCGAACCCGGGTCAACCACATGCAAGGCAGATGCCTAACCTGCTGTGCTATTGCTCCAGCCCCAAAGTAGGACATAACTACAGGTAAAATAAAGTAAAGTAAAAGTAAAGGCCCTCCCGTTGATCATCGATTTGCTCGAGCGGGCCCAGTAACGTCTCCATTGGAGACTTTGTTGTTACTGTGTCTGGCATATCGAATACTCTCGGTAGCTTGCCGGGCTCTCCGAGAGGGGTGGAGGAATCGAACTCTGGTCGGCCATGTTGGCTGCATGCAAGGCAAACGCCCTACCCGCTGTGCTATCGCTCCAGCCCAAAGGAAAACGGACAGGTAAAATGCTGAAGGCAAATACTACCTAACTTGATGCATGTTTTTCAAATTTGCAGTAATTTGACGATTTCACTGTGGCGTAACAACTTAAGAAATGACATTTAAAATTGAGGAATTTTATTTCTAGTCCTTTTGCCTTCCTCCACTTCCGACAAAAATGGGTATGTGGGAAGATTAAGGGGCAGCGGAGATAAGGGTCAATTCAACCATGTGCAACTAAGCTTAAATTTTCCTATCATAATGTTTAATCGGCAATAGATTCACTTGTTCTCAATGTAATTAATATGGATGTAAAAATTCCTACATTGGTATTAAAATTAGGATTAAAGGAAATCAGACCAAAAAAAGAATTATACAGCATAAAGAAAAGGCTTCAATTATGCCTACTCTGAATTTATATACAGCTGTCAGGAAAGATATCATTTGTCTAACTCCCCATAATCCAAATGTAGGAATTTTCTCTCCTTTTTTGTGTGTGGTGCTAGATCAAACCCAGGCCCTCTTGCATGCAAGGTATATACTCTACTGCAAGGCCTCATCCCAGGCCAGAATATGAACATTTTAATAGCAGGTTTCACCCTGATATTCATACAAGGAAATCAACTGTCCTGTCAACCTTTGGCAGAACCTTGAGGTCTCTGTCCTGCTTTAAAAAAAAGAACGTGGGATAAAGGCCAAGCAGAATAATAATAATAATAATAATAATAATAATAATAATAATAACAATAATAATAGCGAGATATATAGGGGAAAGGGAAGAAAGCAGATACAGGAGTGGAAGGGGTGAATTTTCATAAAATAGGAAATCTCAGCTGGCTTTACCCAGGGGACATGGAAAGGTCACTGGAAAATCTCAAGAAGTTTCTGCCTGTATTTAGCACAGAGCTAAGGCAGTATCTAGAGACAAACAAAGTTTTAAGCAAAAGAAAATTTTCATGGCTATAAGTAAAGATGTTTAATTGCAGGGAAACCAATTGTCATCAGATTCCCTATCTCAATGCAAAGTACATAGAAGCCCCAAAAGTCACCACAGTTTGTGCCTATGTCCAGAGACGTGTAGGAAAGCATGACCAGTCACAAGCACACTCTCTACCTGAGCTACATTACTGATCAACTCACACCAAGGTCAGTACCACAAGGTTAAGGTGGCTTAATGGCACCTTTTCCGAAAAATACAACATCACTCAACACTCCCCAGGAAATCTCCCATCTGTAATGAATAAACGGAGCTTGCACCCTCATCCCCCTGCAACTGCACCTGAGACAACTAGAGCCCCCAGCCCAAGGGGCATTACCCCCCGCCCCAAAAAAAGGACACAGTGACCAAAAGGTGAATTGATCCACAAGCCCCATCTTGCTTGGGGCTCAAAAATCTTGACTGCACCATCCCAGCAGTTCCCACTCCTTTCTAGAAGATGCCCCAGGACTGTACAATCATTAGTCTGCTGCCCCTAGAGAGATCAATATTGGTAACTCATCAACTAAAACCAATGGCTAATATAATCTCTTGGCGGCCACCCTGGCCATCACACTGAACACTGTCACAGTGAAAACAAAAACACAAAAACAAAACACACAAGGAGAACAGAAATAGGAAATACAGATGAAGGAGAGCAAAGGGGCATTTCACATGACCTGACCCAGGCCCGAACTAGGCAGACAATTCCTCCTTTTGATCAATTATTAAACAATAGTATAAGAAGCCATCCAGCTTCTCCTCCTTTACAGAGCTTATGTGACTTGCCCACAATCATACCCATCAAATGTGTCGGAAACATAAGACCAAAATCTTTTTAACTCCCAAAGCTGTCGTTGTCCGACTATGGCAGCATGTGTATGATACAGAGGGAGAAATAAGGGATAGGAGCGAGAGTTCATACCCCTTATGACAGTGTGAGGGTAAGGGGTGGAATTCTGTCTGTGAGATGGGAAGCTCTTCTCCTTGAAGGATTGTCATTCCTCTCATGCCCCGTCACTAACGCTCGTTCCTCCTGTACGGATTAGAATTCCATGCAGCCTTAGCCTGCACCTTTATCTCTGGGAAGTGGCTTTTACTGATAATAAATCACAGGTGCTGGTTCTTTGCCTGACAGTGGTTTCTGCCTTTCTTCTCCTGGGAAATTGCCTGAGAGAATAGGGATCGCAGGATGCGCGGGCTGCCACTCATCCTCCCTCATTACCTGCAGGTCCTGTTACAGTTGCTCCTTACAGAGCCACCAGTGAAAATGTGAGAGGCCACATTCCCTACACAGCCAGAGCACTGTTTGAAGACCCCTCTGGTCCAGAAGCTTGGTCAGTACAGGGTACAGTCTGGACTTGAACTGTGGCAGCGCAATTCTGAAATGATTAAGAGCATCATGTGATGCAACAGGATAGGACCAAGATGCCCTTTACTGCCATCCCTTCCTGCTTAATAAGGAATCTGTCCCTGGGAAGTGCGGGAAGAGACTCTTTCCTGCAGGATTCATTTCAGAGAAACTTAGGATTCCCCCCCCCAACACACACACACACACACACACACACACACACACACACACACACTCTCTCTCAAGTGAATGAGGGAAATGAAACCAACCAAGATTGGAAGGGTCAGGAGACTAGCAACAGAGCTGGCCATCAGAGAAAGATGTGTTTCTTGGTGGAAAATCTGTTTCTAAACCCCTGAGGGAAAAACAATTCCAGGACCCACGGGAGGCTTTGCACTGGCTTGAACATTTCTCAGCCTCCTCTGTCACCTCTGCCCTTTCTCCTTTCTGCCCACGGTCTTTTCTCATCTTCCCAAAGGCAATTCCTACATTTCCCTTATCTCCTTGCTTTGCTTCTTTGGGAGTGTAGGGTGGTTTGGGCCACCCCTGGCAGTGCTCAGGAGCAACCCCTGGCTCTGTGCTCAAGGGTTGTTCTTGAAAAATGCTCAGAGGACCATATGCAGTACCAGGTCTGAAACCCTGTACTCTGTCTCCAGCCCTTTCTCCATTTCTTCAAACAATACTTTTCACTAAGCCGCAGCTTCTTCTTCTATGAGCAAGAAACCCAAAGAAAAGATGAAATGATTTTTCTGTGGCTGGCCTGACCCAGCCCATGTTGAGGTCATCTAAGCCCAGAGCTCTGCATAACGTCTCCTGACTCAGTCCTCCCCCCACTCCCATCCCAACCATCCCCCAGACTATGAGCTGTACAACTAGACCAAAGCACCCAAAGTCCATGGAAATGGGTGTGTATCTCCATTTGGCAATAATTTTGTGTACATGTCTCATGTTAAAGGACTCTTTATAGAGTTTTGTGGCAATTCAATCCCTTGCTTATTTCCCAAGTATCATATTTTGCTTTGCTACAGTTCAAAGTCTTGCAGGCATCCAAAAGAGTATAAAATCCCCTCTCTTAACTAGATAGGCAGGAGTACGTAATCAGATGATGGGTTGATAATCAGTAGAACCGGTGTTGATGGAATCAAATTTTCCCCCTTGAAGGGACTGAAGAGGAGGACGAAGGAGATGACCGTCTTCTGGGCTCCGTGGATGAGTTCTGGTGGTTTCCGCACATGTGGAGCCACATGCAGCCCCACCTCTTCCACAATGAGTCATCCTTGGTGGAGCAGATGATCCTCAACAAAAAATTTGCCTTGGTGAGTACCTCACGTGGAATATCACATTGAACTCATTTATACTCACTGTAGGAATGAGCCGGTTTGGATGCAGAGACGCTAGCTGAGCACGCATCTTGTGCTGACCCAGTCGGGCACTGCAGCCAATGTGCCACGTGACGCCTTTCAAAGGCGGGGGGGGGGGGTGTACCTCACTCCACTCAGCAGGGTCTCACTTAAGAGCATCTTTGCCTGACTCTCTAAGCACTTGGTTACATGGTACCGGGGTTAGGTGCCTGCCTTGCCTGCAGATACTCGGCTCCACACGCACCCGAGTATCACCTGGTACATCCCTGGACAGCCCTAGCACCACTTGGTGTGGCCCTGGATCACTCCACCATCAGCTCTGCCAGTTGTGGTCACAAAAGCTGCAGTAAGACGTAAATCCTATCCAGAATTTTCCTGTTACACTGGGATTTCATAATATGTACATGGAACAATTCTTCAACAAAGAGCTCCCATGGTCTACTGCCAAACAATACAGGAATAAGAGCCCCCTCATCCAGAGGTATGCATCACTAGAGTAGCCAGGGCAATGTTCTTATTTGGATCAGGACTTTAGGAACATTCTGGAAGACAAAGGAGATTCAGGTGTCAGGGAGAATTGGTGGGAAATGGGATTGAAGGGTAAGAAAATAGAATTAGGTTGGAGATAATGAAGACTCGATCTAGGAAACTATTGTAACAGGGAAAAATTGTTTCAGTAATACTGAAAATAGGGCCAGAGAAATAGCAGAGCAAGTAGAGTGATTGCTTTGAATGCAGCTGACCCAGGTTTGATTGCCCTAAACCCCCTAAGATCCTGGGAGAACAACCAGGAGTGATTCCTAAGCACGGAGCCAGGAGGAAGTTCTGAGCATCAGCAGGTGTGCCTCCACCCCACCCAAAAAAAAAATCTAGAATATACCTAAGAGTGATGGAACATTCCCCAAACAGAATACTTTATAATGAAAGCATTTCTGATTGGAAACAAGAAATTTAACAGTAAAAGTTACAGAAAGCATAGCCTTTGGGCAAATGTTTGTGCTCATCAGAAATAGTGTATCATGATTTACAAGTACAGCATGTGCTGTGTGGGAGACGGTATTTTCTCTTTGCATTTGTAAGTTTTTCTCACAGGACACAAACACATGGAGGGGGTCTATTTGCTCAGCATCTCCTTCCCTGGGTAGACAGTATCTTGGGAGAAGAAACTAAATTTTGTCCATAACATTATTGTCATTCTCATTCATGGAGGTATCAAGTACTTGTCCCGTGCAAGTCATCAAAGCAGAAAAACTTACCACTCAGAAGGGATTCAAAATGTCTCCATTTTTGTAGCATTCCATATAGAGAGATATTCACATAATTAATAAATCCAACCCCATCAAATTGTGTTTCTAACCTAATCCTCTTGATTGTACCTATCAATAGTGTGCAAAATAAATCTGAAAATTTTGGATATGGTTTTAAAACTCTAAAATATAACTGTTCCCTTGACAAAGAATGATTTGTTAAAGTTGTGGAATCAATGATTCCAAAATCCTCACTTAATTTTCTTACATATTTCCAGTTCAAAATGGCAGAGGACCAGAGAGAGAGCACCGAGCACAGGGTTCTCCACACAAACAGCTGAGCGGGGTTCCATCCCAGCACTATATATGACCCCCGGAGCACTGCCAGGAGTGATCCCGAGCAACTCCAGGTGTAACCCCAAAACACAAACAAAATGGCACGGAGACTGTATTTTGTAAATCTGTGGACACAGATTATACGTCTCTCAAACACCCATCCATGGAAGTTTTTGGGCTAATCATTACTTCAGAAAGTATGATGCCCATCTTGTGGAATGGTTGTTCTACTTAAGGCACTAAAGCCAAGATACATGGGAGTTGATCCGCATGGTACCTAACCCAGGCTTATATACAAAGATGTTAACATTTGAAAAGTGTATTCAGTTTCTATCTGGAAGATACAGATGTCCAAATATTTTCTGGGTAGCATCAGGGCCCCATATTTGTATTTTTAACATTAAATACATCTGCTCCCCAAAAGAGATAAGTAACTCTAAGTACATCTTTGCTGTGCTTTGATAGTTTGTCAAGAAAGCAAGGATAGTACTATCCATGGGAAAGTGTGAAAATGTCATGATGGCATTTGTGAACTCCCATGAAACTGGGATATAAACAGGAACGGTACAGTGTGTGAACATGTGTACACATTGCCACTGTGTGTGGCAGAGGCCTCTGGCAACCCTATCGCAATCACAGACATTAACTCTACCATCATCAGAAGTCTAAGACTGCTAGTATTAGCAATGCAAATCAACAAGAGATATTTGGAGAAGAAAACGGAAAATCGACCTTGTAGCTTCTTCTTAAGCAAGAAGAGAAAGAGAAAGGGATCTGTGAAAGGAAATAAAACACCATGAAGTCAAATAAAATGAAATTTTTAAAAAATGAAAACTGAGGGAGGTTTTTGTTGTTTGTTATGACTGACTTGGTAGTCTTCAGGATAAACAGAACACTGTTCAGACAGATCTGATGAAAGAGACAACATTCACTGTCAAGTTCCAATGAAAATAGAATATTTTCAAAAAAAACAAAAAAAAAACAAAAGAAAGCAGAACATTATCTAAAATTTTGTCATCACTTGGATGAAACAATGAGTGCCAATCTTATACTTACCTGTAAATACTTACAAGTATATCTGTTAAGGACAGACAAGCATTCTGCAAGATTTAAAATGTTCAGCTAAAAATTACCATGAATCCAAAGAATAATTCAAAGTATAAATTGATTCATATTAGTGGGGATTAGGAGGGAGGGAGGGGGAGGTTTTCAAAGCAGTGCTCAGCTCCAATGCTGGAGCCTGGATGTGAGGTCAGCTTGGGTCCAACAGGCGCTAGTAGCTACACAGGTCACCCCAGCTGTGCTCAGTGAGACATTGAGCACAGGACATGCATTCCTGCCCTTTGATACCCCCCTGGTCTCTATTTGGTCATTCTTATATTCTTAACTCAAGAGGCAAGCTAAAAACAGTTCTCATTCTTCAATCCTGGTTGAAAACTCAAATTATGTTTCTTGAGGCAATAGAGAATAATCATGAAGGCTCTTGTGTTCTTCAATGCTTAATCAAACACAGTCAACATTTCTGTCAGGCGAGGATAGGCATGAACAAAGGCAGAATTAAACCCCCACGTTCCCCAGCAGTACTCTGTAGAAGAGAACAGAACTGTGAAACGTTAGGGAACGGTGATCAACACATAGTAAACACTCAGCAGATGGCAGCTGCTGTTTTTATTATTATGTTCAGTACCATAAAATTGCCATCTTCAGTGTTCTTCAAAAATCCTCAAGTTGAAAAGCTTTTTTTGGACTGGGATGACATTTGGTTAATGTGAATTCTGCACATTTCTAAATATGTGTTAATTTACTTCCTATTAAGACATTAGAGGTACAAAGCTGCTAAATTTAAAGCCACCATGAGAACAAATCAAACCTTTGGGTTTTGTAAATATATTTATAGTTTTAGGTTTTTATAAACTTTTTAAATATATACTATCTTAAGTCTTACATTTTTTAAAATCTATCTATATATGTAGATACAGATATAGATAGATATAGATATAGATAGTCTGCATTATTTCCTTTAATTCTTACAATTGCTCTGGTAAGTAAATATATTTATTCTCACTATACAGCTCAGGAAATTGAACACCAAATAAAATAAAGTGACTTGTGCTAGTGTATAAAAAACTACTTTATGGTAGAATCAAAGCCAGAAATCCATATATTTAAAAACCACTTAAATTATGACTACAGCTTCTTTACTGCCCTCCCAGCCCAAACCCAGATGTAAATCTAATTGCCCTGCTTCCTGCTGGTTATCCAAGGGAATTCCTAGTAATCTTGATAATGTTGAGAACTAGAGGAAGAACCTTCCCTGAGGTTCCTGAAGGTCCCCAAAGGGAGGCTAGACTGCTAACCTGTCGGAAATCAACTGGATCTGAGGAACTTCCCGCCTGACAGTGTCCATGGAGACACAGAGGCCACTTTCCTTTTTGTAGTTTTCATGGTCTTATGCTAATACACAGACCCTATTGTGGAGGAAATGCTGCCCCAGCTCTTGACTTGCTGTGTGGAATGAGCAAAAATCTTAGCTATGCTTAGGAAAATGCTGTCTTCCTTAACTGGATTGCATCTTGCCTTTCTCCTCTAGCTTGGGTGTTCCTAATTTTATTTTATTTTTTTTAATTTTATTAGTGAAACACCATGAGATACAGTTGTAGACTTACAATTTTTTGTGCTTGGGTTTCAGTTATACAATGATTGAGTACCCATCCCTCCACCAGTGCCCATTCTCCACCTCCAGTGCTCCCAGTATCCCTCGCGCCCCCCATACCCCCATCCCACCCCACCCCTGTGGCAGGGCATTCCCTTTAGTTTTCTCTCTCCTTTTGGGTGCTGTGGTATGCAAAAGAGGCATTGAGTGACAATCATGTTCGGTCTATAGTCTACTTTCAGCATGCATCTCTCATGCTGGAAGGATCCTCCCAATACCCTTTATTTGGTGCTCCCTTCTCTATCTGAACTGTCTTTTCCCCTAGCATGTGTGGCTCACCTCCAAACCATGGAGTGGACCTCCTGGTACTTATCTCGGCTATTCTTGGGTGTTAGTCTCCTGTTTTGTTACTTTATATTCCCCAGATGAATGCAATCTTTCTATGTCTGTTCCTCTCTTTCTGATTCATTTCACTTAGCATGATGAACAAAAGGGGGCTCCTAATCTTAAAATGAGCCCCAAGACTGGAGAGATGGATCTCAGGAATGGAGCATATGTTTTGCATTCAGGATACTTGGGGTCAACCCTAGTACTTCAAGGTCCCCGGAACACCACCAGAAGTGGTCCTCAAGCATAGAGCAGGGAATAGCCCTTCAGCCCTTTAGCATAGTCATCTAAGACTCAGGGGAAAAAATTTAATAAAAAAATGGCCATCAGTG